CCCCAAAACCCCAAAACCCCAAAACCCCAAAACCCCAAAACCCCAAAACCCCGAATGTTATCCAAAATTGTAATAAAAATGTTGAGAGATTTCTCGTTAGATACGCAAAATCTTGATTTAGATTACCTCTACACCGAGCTGGAGGTTCTTAAAGACTCTCTTGAAGTGCCTTACATAGACAAAAGGGCACGAGAAAATGGTCTTAACGAGGACTTGTTTGAAGAGGTAAAGATAGCCTTCAATGAGATCTCAAAGAAAGAAAAGGGAATGAAGCAATTAATACAAATAATGGAATTCACACTACAAAAATACTCTGATCTTTCTGATAAACACCAAGATACCCAGGACAAGTTAGTCAGAGTGGAAAGTGAGCTAGCAGACTACAAGGAGAACGTAGTAGTTAATATGAGTAACCAATTGCAAAGAAATGAAAACAATTTGGAAGACCTGGAGGAAGAACTAATCAATGCTGAGCGAGAGATCAGAGAGTTGAAAGAACAAATTAGTAGTAGTAAACCTGAGGTTACTATTTTCAAGAATATACAAGAAATGGAGAAGAGAGTAAGAAGACAGTCTCTAATGGAAACACGCGGACAAATAGATGGCCTCGAACAAGCCCTCCAGACGACCAAAAGTAACAATCAGAAGATCCAGAATAAGCTTCAATCGTTAAAGGAAGAAATTATTGTTCTGAGTAAAGAAAACAAAAAGCTTAAGAGAGATCTCCAAAATGCTTATGACAATAATGAAACAATCGCGAGGGATGTCCAAGAGCTTAATAAGATGAAAGCAGCGTTTGAAGTGGAGTTCACTAATGTGGTCGACTCAAAAGAAAATGAAATCAAGCAACTGAACAAAAAGATCGAGCATCTTCAGGAAGAGCGGAAGAGATCAGACAAAAAGAACAAAGAGCTAGAAGGGAAGTTATCAAAATTTAAAAACAGGACTGTCCAATCTAGCTCTGAAGCTAATCCTGAAGTTCAAGGAGAATCAATAGAAAACACTTCTTCTAATAAAGGAGATGCTATTAAAGTTGAGGAAAATGGATCTGAAAACTCGATAGAGGAGATGTTTGATGGAGTTATCAGGGAAGAACCCAATTATAAAAGAAGCAATACATACGAGAGCTTAGGGGAAGTCATGGGCAATAGGAATAGCTATTATGGAAGAGATACCATGAACATTCTCAATGAGGCAGAAGAGGAGGAGCTAGTATCAGAAGAAGGCATTGAGAGTCATGTAGATGTCGGAACACAAACGACCGAAGAAAACACAGATTTAGACACACCTTTAAGAGTAATTGAAGAAGAGAAATTTCATCCATCCTATCAAGATAATGATTACGAGCTTGATAGTAACTATAGCTGAAATGATAGCACGCTAAGTATATCGAGAATCTGAAGCTCAAAGAAAGATGCTCTAGAAGATTTCTTTAAAATGCTAGTCTTGGCAATGAAAGTTGGTCATCAAGATCTCGACAATGTTTGCCATATAAAAGCAAAAGTCCTTTATAAAAGATGCAAGGATGCTAATATACCATTCTCAGAATGGCACAATTGGATTGAGAATCAGCTGAATAACCTATATCTGAAGAAAATATACGAGAATTCATCAAACAACTCCAAGAGTCTTTCAAGAAGCCAATCAAGAGAGTTTGGAGGATTCGATTCGTCAACAGTACCTTCCTCTACTCAATCTGAAAGAGATGAACTCCTCAGATATTTCTCAAGTAATTCTAATAGCGGGGAGCTTAATAGTGAACAAAATGAAAAAAAACCGAACAAGAAATGAATAATATTTTAATATCAAATTTCTTTACACCTTTTGGGGTTTTGGGGTTTTGGGGTTTTGGGGTTTTGGGGTTTTGGGG